GTTGCAAATTTTAAAGTGTTCAGTTAAATTGTATAAGAATGTATAATTGTCCTATGATTTGTTAGCTTTAACAGATCATACCAGGATCATGATTTTAATATGAGTTGTTAGCTACAACAGATCATACCAGGACCATGGTTTTAATACGAGTTGTTAGCTACAACAGATCATACCAGTACCATGGTTTTAATACGAGTTATTAGCAACAACAGATCAAACCAGGACCATGGTTTTCTTGCAAGGTGTTTAGTTTAACAGATCATCCAAGTATCATGATCCATTAGCTCATTTGCTTGTGAAATTTTCCTATACCGAAATCATATCAAAACCATGATTTACACACGAGTCATTAGCATATGATCCCATAGGCTGTTTTTTCTGTTTGGGGGCCAGTTTAAACCGTATAAAATGGGTAGCTATCAAATTCATTCCTTAAATCACAAGATTGAGCCTGCAGTGTTTCTTCTTATAAGGGATCAATTATGGTTCAATGTGATACGCAAGGTATTTCAAAAAATAACATCCTTAATTATTCACACGAACTTGATTTTACATTACGGTGCAAGGGGTCTAGGACCAACGAGCCCCCCCCCCCCATCCATAGGTCTAAAGGCAGAATTAGAAGGTGAAAAGGGTCGACCTTTCCTCTAAGCTCTTGCCTAAGAATCAGGAATTAAAACATGTAAAAGTGTCCTCTTTTAAGCATTAAATTGTAAAGTTTGGACGTTCATCGTGTCAAACACAGAAGGCTGTGTTGACAAATAAAACAACACACCTAAGCGCGTTATTTACAATTATGTATTAATGCCTGTAGTATACAGAAATACGGTTGCATACCTCACCTTCACCTAATAAATATAATATAAACGACATGTTAAAGCATTAGTTCCAAAAATGATGTGTAAGTGACAAAGATAAATAAAAAAGGGGGTGGCTCAAATGTTATTCTCCTTGCCAGCTGAAAAAAAAAAACAAAAATAAAAGACCGAGAGAAAAAAAGAGAATTATGAAAACATGAAAGGGGGGTCAAATCTATTTTTGTACTGACTAACTACAAGGTATTTGCGAAAGAAGAGGGTTGCTAATTCACCCCTCCCGATTTTAACGAATATGTGGAAGAATTGTAATAGTCACAGGGATAAATGATCCTAACTTTTAAAATATTGCGGGAAACACCAGAGAAAAGTGTATTATGTACACACGATCCAACTCTGACTAAATCATAATGAATCTAAGTCTTAGTGTTGGGCCTAAAGTTATATTAATTAAGATATACGATACATGTACACGGCTGCACATGTACAATTAGAAGAGTAGACGCGTTCAGTTATGGCAGTCATTTCTATTCCTACTAAATATATAGAAATAAGACAGAACACTTATTATAAATCTTATAATATACATTATGTTACTGTTACTACCCGGAAGTTGTCAGAAGGCCAAAGAGAGATTACTTACGTTTTGGGACAGGCCTATAAGAAAGAAATACATGTGATATTTAAATATTAAGAACTTGTTTCAGAATTTTTACAGTGCTTATTTTACAATTTGGATTCATTATAAAATTAATACATGTTTTGATAAATATATGTGGGCATTCATCATGTTTTTATTGTTTGTTTCTGGAAAAATGACTAGATGCACTTCAGTAGAGAAAAAAAAATGAAAATCAACAACATAATTGGAAACAGAAAGACCATGTTTATTACCTATTATAATATATTTATTACCTAAAAATCAAAAGAGTAAATGATAATTATATATAGAGACATAAAACTTACCAACATTCGTACCCATGTGGAAATCCAGGTTGTTAGACGTCAACATTTTGTATTTTACCAAAGACTGTTATGTGTGTGCTTATGCATTGTGTGACAAAAACGAGACATATTTGCGCCTCCACTTGCCTGTGAGCCCGGGGCTTCTAACAATCCAGTCCCGTTCTCTACCGATTGATCTAATTGATTAACAAGGTTCTTATAACGACCATAGATTTTGGAAATGCTGACTTTAAACGAGATTGTTAAAGTCCCAGCTACATCGACTTATCTGTTAGTAGACTACCTCAATTTGAAAAAAACGATCGTTTTCAGAGCATACTCTTTAGTATCGAATAAGTCGGGAGACGTAAACTCCATATGCAGGTAATAGCGGAATATTACTACATAAATAAGGAAAATTGTCGATGGAAAAAACTGAAGTCATCTGTTTTTTAAAATACAATTTAGTTGTTAGTTTGCCCTTATCGTCTACAGTCAGTAAAAAATCCAAGTATGAAACAGATTTGACAGACTCGGTGGTGTCTTTTATTTCAAGTTCACTAGGATTTATCGAGTCGACATATGAATGGAAGTAACTATTGAATATTGATAAAACGTCGTCGATATATCTAAATATGGAGTTGAAGGTTACAGCAAGTGTTCTGTTCTTCTCTCGTAGAAGATTTTGTATAAATTCTGCTTGGTTGGAATTGGAATATAAAATCAGTCGGCTAATAAAGGAGCACAATCAGTGCTCATCAAAATTCTAACAGTTTGTTGGAAGACCTGTAGCCCTTTTCACAAAAAATCTTAGGTTTATTGACAACAAATATGGAATGCAATCATTTGTGAAGCAAAAAAGTTTAAAATCTGACGTCACAATCACAAGTCTGACGTAAAAGTAAGTCATACGAAAATCTTCAGTGAAACTTACATCGTAAATATTTTGTAGTGTATTTCATTTAATTTTTCGACAATGATTGTGAAAAAAATATAAAATATTATTGTAAGTTGCTTTACAACGTTCAATTTAACGTGTATTTTGGTTTTTGCGGTTATATTTTTACAATAAAATCGGTTTTAAAATACTTAAGAGAGGGTTGGGGCTCTCGTAAAGTTACGACAGATTTTGCACTTACGACTTTCTTAAGAACTTTTGTGAAAATGATTTTTATCATAAGTTTTCACTTAAGAAAAAAATATGTCGTAAATTTTTTTGTGAAATAGGCTACTGGTCTCCGATGTCTATATAAATGTTTTCAATGTTGAACTCCAGCATCCTTTTGATATCAACTTCAGAGTCCTTTGTGTAGAATTAGAGTTATTTTTTAACAAAGTTCTTTTGTTGATGACCAATCACAGGACATGAAACTTTTAGAGTTCCATTTTTATTGAAGTTGCAGTTGTCTATGATATCAAAAAGCCTAGTTTTTAATTTACCGTGAGGAATGGTTGAATAGAGTGTAGAAAAGTCGTAAATTTTGATTTATTGACTTGAGAAAAATTTTGTGAATTTTTGAGAATCCACATCTGATTTACACAACTTTTATAATATGCTGTAGCACAGTACATATGAAGTTTTTCCTTTATAGCAGTTATAAGGCGTGATTATAGGGTCTTGGTAGAGCATTTGCTATACCCGGCAAAGTATTTTTGATTGTAAGGATTTTTATGACGTTTAGGAATCCGGTATATGTAGAGTAGATCGAACTCACCTTGTTTGAGGGAATGTTAAAAGTATAAACATTGAAATGTGATTTTGAAGAATTTCATCCTTATAAAGTGAACTCTGAGTACAAGTTGGATTTCCAGACATGGAATTAAAACTAAGTTCATCTAAACTACAGTTATAATAAGAAATCAAGGAAAGACGATATTGTTACAAGCCTTGTCGGCTGGAAACATGATATATTATAGTTTTTCTAATTCTTTTATCACCTTTGATTTTGTGAAAACGGAAGCATGTTCTCATATTGCCTTTTAACCTTCTAATACGATTCTTTAATATATTTCTAAAACACTTAATTCATTTTGACAAAGTGTTCAGGTCTTCCCTTTCATACTTAACCCAACGACTGACATAATTTTCGACAGAATTCATAATAGAAATGAAGTTCTATCGCCAATTAATTGAAAGATTGGGGCTCCCTGTATTTAGGACCTTTTAAGATGATTGCTTTTAGGTCATCATTTTAAACTATAAAGAAGAAATGAAATTTCCATCTCGCCAAAATGGTCTATTTGAAGTCTATCAGTCTATCTTAGAACTTAATAATAAACTGCTTTTTCATGGATAAACATCTGTTGAGGAGAATTTTACCTGTTGAGGAGAATTTTACCGGAAGGTACGTGTTTTGAATATAATAAATATAAAATTATAAATTGTTATTTAATTATGATATAAATATAATGAATTATAACAAGTTCAAATATTTATTCAAAGCAAATCAGATTGTTAAAGGTACAGAAAGATATTTACAAACAGTAAAATTCAGAAGTTATTTTAGAAGTACATTGTAACATATTTTACAACAAGAGAAAGCAGATATATTGTCCATTTTAATAAACCCTTGTCCTATCAATCCTATTCAAACCAGAATGAGTTTTCTACCAAAGTTAGCAAATATTACCCTTCGGTAAAGAATTAAAGTAAAGCGATTATTGTGTTTATTTGATGATACATGTACAAGGGAAGAGATTTTAGAAAACAAAAGATGATATAAAGCAAATAAGGGCTCAATCGTATAGAGTTTTATAATGATATTTTAGTAGGAAATGGTACATTTGATAAACATACTTTATTTAATTATAGTAGAATAACTGATACCGTATAAGCAGAAATTTTTAGCGAGGATTTAATTTTGGCAATATTAACGAGGATGTTGAGATCGCTAAAATTGAATATCACTAACAATTCATTCCCTGTCTGGAGGTTATTGTTATTTTTAAAGGCATCACATAATCGCTAAAATTAAATACTGTTTTTAAAGGACAAATCACTAAATTTGCGTCTCGTTAAAACTTCTACTGATACAGTAATTGAATGCTGATTGCCTCTATCAATGAAATGGCAATGCAAATTCCCTAACAGGTATTCTTCTTTTGTTTGCTTTGATGACCCATGGTTTGACCTTTTTTCACTCGTTTTTCCAAAGTATCATCTTTCCGATAAAGACTTTACTCTATATTTCTCTTAATGCCTGAGACATAGCATTCCAGAACTCTTCTGGAATTTCTTTGTCATATTCCAGATATGTCTGTTCTCTTATTACATCCTTTAGAAATGGCGGTAAGACAGCTCCAAGATCCATAAATACTCTCCATTCGAGCCATTTGAGCTTCGTATATGCAAAATTCAGATTCCAAAAAAGCTTTACTCAGAAAACAGACAGTATGTTTATTATTGTGAATAGCATTGGTAATGTTTTCTGCTACGTTAACACCAATTATAAAGTCACGACTGTGTATACAAAATTTAAAATTATTTTCTCTTTCTAGCTTCAAAAGGTTTGGTATAAACTCTGCCCTTTCACTTTCAGCATAGGAAATGAAGGCATCAAATTGATACTCTCTACCGGAGTCTAAAATCCTTGAATATCCTCTATAACTTCTCTTACCAGCATAATATAAATAGCGTAGTTTCCATCTATATCTATACATTATTGCAAAGGATACAAGAGTGATTGTGACGAGTAAAATAATGGTAACTACGATTATTGTTGTTGTAAATGATGTACATTTACGCTCTAAAGAAGTGATTATCTGCTCTAAATGGCGCAGTTCAATCTTTTTCTCATCTGTGAATATGCAAGTGTAATTCTCTCTGTCAACAAAATGTTTATTTGAAGATTCTTTCATCCATTTCAGGAAGTCCATGCTTTGGCATGTACACTGTAATGGGTTGTTTGACATCTGGATAGAGAATTGTTTCTCCCTAGAAGCATCTAAAAAGTCCATTGACTTTGAATCCAACATCACAATTTTATTGGAAGACAAATCTATGCTACGCAATTTTAAAGCAGCTGACAGATCAAAAGTGACACTTTCTATTTCATTATTACTTAAGATTAGATGCTCAATATTTGACATGAAAACAAACACATCCTTATGTATGAGAGTTATCCAGTTATAGGACAGATCCAGTACCTTTAAACCACGGAGGTGATCAAATACATGTTCTGAGGACTGACTCTTTAATACCTTTCCTAAAAGATTTCTGGATAAGTTCAGGAATAATAAGTTTGTCATATTTTGAAATGACTGTTTGGTAATATTGAAGCAGAAGTTGTTCGAGAGATCAAGGTATTCTAGACGCCAAAGTCCACTAAAATGTTGTATGTCATATATAAGATTTCCCTGAACATGTAGATGTGTTAATGAATTTTGCGACCTAAACCCGTACGTATTATCTATTAAAGGAAGAAACATTTTCTGATTAGCGATGCTAAGAGATTTTAGCTTCGGGGGTAATTGATACGAAGAGAACGCTGGTGATTCTTTATATTCCGTTCCCTCCACAGCAATTTCTTCCACTTTGTCACAACTGTTAGAATTATAATTACAGCCTGTTTGATGGTCAATACCTCTGTCTGTACGGTCAATGTTTAACCTTTCTAGATTTGAAAGAAAAACTCCTTCAAATAAATATATCGCGAACATCAGCGGGTTATTATTAATATTTATATATATCAATGACTTGGGAAGGTACTTAGTAAGTCGATGCTCAATAATGCCGATTCTGTTTTCTGCCAACGACAACTCTCTCAAAGAAGTATTTCTGAGATATTCTATATGGTTTATTCTTAATATTAGCGAAAGTCCATTTGTACAATGAAGACTATCTGCCCTTAGTGTTTGGATTTTTGTATATTGTAGATCATAAGTAATATTGGGCAATACGGATATCGTAAGGTCTCGGTTTTCTGAAATATCCAGTAATAAGAGGTCATTCAAGTATGCAAATGCTCCTTTCTCTATGTACCTGATATCACAATGAAATAATTTAAGTGTTTTCAACTGTTGGAAAACATTGAATGTGTCATTCTCGATGCTATTCAAAGAACATTTTGCACCATAAATTGTAAATGCTATAATTTGAATAGAATTATTTGCTTCAAATGCGTCTTCAAAGTTATGGCCACCTAATCCATTCAGTTCGATATGCCTTAATGACGAAAGTCCGTAAAAGCATTCTTTGGAGTACTTCATCTCCTTGATCGTATTATCAGATATTTCTGAACAATTATCCTTCATGAGCAGAGTATCAAGTTTTGTCAGATTTTCGAAAAAGCGTGATGGCCATTCCTTATATTTTTGCCATAAGCAATTACGTTCAACATTTAACCATTGCAAATGTTTGTATCTTGAAAGAATTGCCTTTTTTGGATTTCGAATATTGTTATTGCTTATATCTAGCCGCACGATCTCTCGTGGCATGTCAGTAGGTATTTCCGTAAGACCATTGTTATTAAGATAGATGCATCTAACATTTTGTCGAAATTTTGGAGAATGAGTCAGGTTTAGCGAGCTGCAATCCACACTCAGCATTTCTCTATCGTAATAACATCTGCAATTTGGCTCCGAAGAGCAGCTGAATTGTAGTGTCTGCCTTAAAAATGCAAACAGAATACAGAACAACAGAGCTGCATTGAGACTCATTTTCTTGGAGTATAACCAATGATGCTTTGTCTACAAAGAAAATCAAGAGGAACTTAACATATTCCAGTCAATAATTTTTTTTTAGTCCTGAGTTCGAAAAGATCCCTGGTTTGCATCTGGTTTATATCGTAAATGAAGGAAAAGAAATGTAGATTTGATGAAGATTATTAGTATCTTAATTGGGTTTATTTAAGTTTATCTATAAATCTATCGCATAAAACTTTAAGAAAAATATAGGACCGATTTCACTATATTTTTTTGAAATTCTTTATTTTGTTAGAAAAAAATAGAATATCTTCAGCCTGTATCAGGTATCGCAGGAAAATAATTTCATAATGAATCTTAACCTATATATATATATATATATATATATATATATATATATATATATATATATATATATATATATATATATATATATATATATATATATATATATATATATATATATATATATATATATATATATATTTCTTACCTGTTTGTAATGCTGCCTCTGATAATTACCAAAAATGTAACCTTTAATAAACATTTTAGTTTTGTTTGTGCTTTAGATACGCTGTGATGGAAAGAAGATATTTCGTGACCTGTTTTACAGTCTCTTATATAGGATATCATACTGAAATAAAACAAGACCACTCGTCTTTCTGTCCAAAGCATACTATCAATGTTAATTTTTTTTATGTTTCATTGTGTTTGGAACCAGGAAGTTGGCATTGATTAACCCGTTCCTTTGTTAAAAAGAGGTTTCATAAGACACATGATATCATCTTCCCGTCAAAAACTGCAAGCATGTATCTGTTGCAAAGTGATTTAAAAAAAATCACACTGTAAATGTAAAAAAAAGTTTGTCTTTCATTTTTTGTTTAACGTGTGTACATTTCTTTAGACTATTGTTCTATTGATTAAAGTTAATTACAATACAATCGAACCAAACGAAGTTCATATAAATACTTATATCACATACTTCTTAACAGAATCTAATGACGAAATACAAAACATGGGTATGCCCCTTTTAATCAATCTTAAAACCGGCGCTGAAAAGGATAAGTTTTCAGACCTACATTTCAGTTGGTAAATTATTTTAGCAATAAAACCTTTATTGTTTTATCATTGTTAATTATTGTTTTTTTCTTTGAATCATAATTACATATTTCTGTCAATTATTGCACAATTTTTGTATTTTGCATTTTTTGTTCGATAGTTTGTCTAAATAACGCCAGTGCTTCAATAATTGTATTCGTGTGTATATGGTTGTAAATGCTTCACTATTTGATTTAATTTAACTAGATGTCAAGGTTTATTTATGAATTACATATACATGTATTCTGTCTTTTTTGACAAAAATATTATAACGTAATTTTGAAGATACTTCAAACGAGAACTACAGAAAAATTTTTATAATTGTGTGGAAAAAAGTTTTAACTGATATTGACTTTTGTTAGAGTACAATATATCCTTGGCGCAGGGATGAGTTTTCTATACAACCAATGCTAACAGTACTTATGGGTATTTTAATGCCGATCAAACAAGACGAAAAAACTGACAGTTTTATACCGAGATTGCTTTTCAATCAGATATAATTAAATTTTGTTTGTATTCTAGCCTCTGATTGGTTAATATCCAAAAAGGAACACAAATTATTTCTGTATAACCTGGTTTGGTATGGGGACACACCCCCCTGACAACCAGCTGAATTATCTCTATCCATAAAATCCTCTCATTTCCAGTCCTCGAGATTCATGGAAAATTCCAGATTTAATAAATGTACCTTTAACTTAACAATAATTCGATCTTACCACATGTAAACAAACAACAACGCTGCTAGGCCTATGCATCAGTTTCTACCTCCCCTCGCTTCCCATCACTTCCGTTACTTCCGTTACTAAGGTTGTATTATTGAGCGGCAAATTTGAACTAATAAAAAGCAACGAAATTTTACACCCTTAATTATTTAATGATTATAAAATTAAATTATAAGGAATGACTCTAATTCTTGGCCAAATTATTCGAGTATAACCTGGTTTGGGTCAGTTTACGCTGTTTTATAATCCGCTTCGCGGATTATAAAGCGTAGACATACCCCAACCAGGTTATACTCGAATAATTTGGCCAAGAATTAGAGTCATTCCTAAATTACATCACTTGGAATCAAGCTTGAACGGGTTTCTTTCTTTTTTTCTCTATATTTACCTATCTGCTCTTTCTTTTCTGTTTTGCAGACGATATCTTATGCTTTTTGTGTTGTGATTTGGACTAAAGATCCACATTTTTTTGGTTCAAAAAATCCCTCCAGAAATCTTTGACTATTAAAAAAAAGCAAAAAACGAACAGAGAAAGAAGAAGAGAGTGTATCTTCGTTCTGGTTTTGGGTGTGGCGTTTCTGAAGTATTTGTATTATAATACTGTAATTTTCCTCTTCAACAAAGTTATAAAACTAACGTTTATAGAGATTTGTTAGTGTTGTCGAGAGTAGAAGCCTTATGCACCTTCTGAAGCGAAATTAATTAAAAGATTAAGATAAATATTACTGGATATCGTGTATTTCTGGCGTCCTTTCAGTTTTTTGAGGATAAAAAAAAATATTTTAAAAATCCAACATTTCCATAAAGCTTATAAAGTTATCTGGTTTATTTTGATTTTACTGTTATCTATCCAGAAGGTAAAGTTTTGTGTAATCGGTATAGCAATATTGTGCATCTATATATGTTGATGTTGTCATAAATCTTCTTATTGGTGTTAATTATGAAATAGACACAAAATAATTATGATCATTTGATGTAAATAGAGGATTGTCATAATATTTAATTATTTTCTTACAAAAAGCATTTAGACCCTTAACTGGGTGAACCTTTTACAACCTAACCCTGTATACATGTACATAATGTTCAATGTGTTTGATAACTTGATTATTAATTATAATGAGTCAAATTTTTAAAAAATTAAAATATGCCAAAAAACGAAATACCGTTTTGCTATGAAATTGCCAAATTTCCCTCCATTTTTTAAAAAGTGAAAATAACCAAAAAAAAAAAAAAAAAAAAAAGAAAAACAAAAACAAAAAAAAAACAAAAAACAAAAAACAAAACAAAACAAAACAAAAAACAAACAAACAAAGAAAAAAAACAAATAAAAACAACAAACAAACAAAAAAACAAAAAAAAAAACAAAAACAAAACAAAACAAAACAAAAAAAAAACAAAAAACAACCAACTTCTATCCTTAAAGAAAATATACTTCATTAAGATAAAGAATGAATTCTCTATCTATCACATATTTTACAGTACAATACTATATTTTAGCCGTTTAATAAAATTGATATTTTCATTGACATGGCATACACATATTCAAAACATCAAAACTTATTTTCGCGATAAAACACTTCTACCTATAAAAAGTTTATTAAAGAAAATTATTCTTATAGATAGCAACGTTGAATAAACCATCCTAATACTAACTTAAACTGTAATAGTTTCTCTAAATTTTGGTAAATATATATTTACAATTTTCAATCTCAAAATCTCACAACCTCTCAGCTATTACGACACAGCGTCACGGAAAGACACCATATGGCTATAAACCAAAAAAAAAATGTTATAAAGAAATAATTTTCATTATTAATGATTTGCAGTAAATTCTTTTCGTTCATCAGTATACCAGATTTTTTCGGAACCATAGTTTTTGTACGCTTTTTCCTTCTTTTTCCTGTAGTTGCCAAATGATTGCAACTTCAGTGTAATTTAACATTAATATACATTTACTTTCAAATTAATTGTCTATTCTTCCTTGTTAAAATATATAAAACTGAGCTTTAGGGAAATATTCTATTGTACTTGCCACTTACTGCGTAGGTTTTCTTTCTTATCCTCTTTTTTTCAGTAAACAAACAGTGCAAAATAAATTTATCTAATTACAAGGAACATTAAGAAAGGGACATTATAGAAAAAGGAAGTGAAAGGAAATACTAAACAAATAAAAAGATAAAGTAAATAAATATACCA